AGCACTCGGGAGGCAGAGGCAGGCGGATCTCTGTGAGTTCGAGGCCAGCCTGGTCTACAAAGGGAGTTCCAGGACAGTCTCCAAAGCTACAGAGAAACCCTGTCTCAAAAAACCAAAAAGCTGGGCTCTGAGGGTCAGGAAGCTTGGCCCTGAGGGTATAAAGAAATTTTTCTTTCTTTCCTTTTAAAACTTTATACTTTGAGAATTTTATACACGACCACAATTGTTTTCATATCTGTTCTTCACCACCTCTCTCTAAATCCCCCTGGAATCCCAACCCATTTCCCTCCCAACTTCATCTCTCTCTCTCTTTTTATTATTAACTCCTGTGGTCCAGTTAGTGCATACCACATGCATTGATGTGGAGTTGTTCACTGAAAAGGTTTCTGGGTCAGACATGTTTGTACATACCTGTAGGCACCAAGGTTCTGTCTTGAGTACCTAAAAACCTTATGTCTCTGATTTCTGGTTAATCTTGGTTTTCAAGACAGAACCTTGCTTCTTTGGTTTCCATCTACCAGTGGCCCTGGAACCTTGGAGCTATTGCAATTTTTGGCTTCCAGGAGTAGCGAGCGGCGATAACAGTTGGCAGCGGACAGTTCTTGATTAATGTAACAGTTCCTGCACCCTCGGGTCCTGCAACAGTTAGTATCAAAGCTGTTGGGCCTAAGGTGTCTGGACGCTTGACCCTTGGACTTGGCAGCTCCTTGTAACTCTAGGAATTGAACCCAAGTCCTCTGCAGGACCAGTGGGTGTCTTTTAACTGCTGAGCCTTCTCTCCAACCCCTAGAGAAACCCTTCTTGATGGTGTGCAATGTTTGTAATACCGGGTATCTCCCAGCTGACTTGAAAAGTAAGTCCAACAATCTAATTATGTAGCCAGATGGATGTGTGTGTCGATCAAGACTCGACCCTTCACATAAATGAAGACCCATGTTTTTTCTTTTTTTAAAAAAAATACTTATTTATCACGTATACAATATTCTGTATGCCTGCAGGCCAGAAGAGAGCACCAGACCCCATTACAGATGGTTGTGAGCCACCATGTGGTTGCTGGGAATTGAACTCAGGACCTTTGGAAGAGCAGGCAATGCTCTTAACCTCTGAGCCATCTCTCCAGCCCCAAGACCCATGTTTTGTAGAACTTTAAGACAATTCTGAAGCCATTTCTGACCATTCTGAGCCCTCTCAGTCTCAGCAGTAATGTTTCTCCCTTCCCCCCTGGGAACCAAGAATGTAACAGCTACACATGCATGTATGTTCTCCAGAAATTGGGGCAAGATAACCTTTAAGATGTTGACTCAGTCTATCACCATGCACAAAACTCAAGTCCAAATGGATTAAAGACCTCAATATCAGTCCGAACACACTGAACCTGATAGAAGAGAAAGTGGGAAGTACTCTACAACACATGGGCACAGGAGACCACTTCCTACGCATAACCCCAGCAGCACAGACATTAAGGGCCTCATTGAATAAATGAGACCTCCTGAGACTGAGAAGCTTCTGTAAAGCAAAGGGCACTGTCGCTAAGACACAAAGGCAACCCACTAACTGGGAGAAGATCTTCACCAACCCCACAACTGACAAAGGTCTGATCTCCAAAATATATAAAGAACTCAAGAAACTAGACCGTAAAAGGCTAATCAACCAAATTATAAAATGGGGCACTGATATGAACAGAGAATTCTCAACAGAAGAAGTTCAAATGGCCAAAAGACACTTAAGGTCATGTTCAACTTCCTTAGCGATCAGGGAAATGCAAATCAAGACAACTTTAAGATACCATCTTACACCTGTCAGAATGGCTAAAATCAAAAACAACAACGATAGCCTTTGCTGGAGAGGTTGTGGAGAAAGGGGTACACTCATCCATTGCTGGTGGGAATGCAAACTTGTGCAACCACTTTGGAAAGCAGTGTGGTGGTTTCTCAGGAAATTCGGGATCAACTTACCCCTGGACCCAGCAATACCACTCTTGGGAATATACCCAAGAGAGGCCTTATCATACAACAAAAGTATATGCTCTACTATGTTCACAGCAGCATTGTTTGTAAAAGCCAGAACCTGGAAACAACCTAGATGCCCTTCAATGGAAGAATGGATGAAGAAAGTATGGAATATATACATATTAAAGTACTACTCAGCAGTAAAAAACAATGACTTCTTGAATTTTGCATGCAAATGGATGGAAATAGAAAACACTATCCTGAGTGAGGTAAGCCAGACCCAAAAAGAGGAACATGGGATGTACTCACTCATATTTGGTTTCTAGCCATAAACCAAGGACATTGAGCCTATAATTAGTGATCCTAGAGAAGCTAAATAAGGAGAACCCAAAGAAAAACATATAGGCATCCTCCTGAATATTAACCTTCATCAGGCGATGAAAGGAGACAGAGACAGAAACCCACATTGGAGCACCGGACAGAAATTTCAAGGTCCAAATCAGGAGCAGAAGGAGAGAGAGCACGAGCAAGGAACTCAGGACCGCGAGGGGTGCACCCACACACTGAGACAATGGGGATGTTCTATAGGGAACTCACCAAGGCCAGCTGGCCTGGATCTGAAAAAACCTGGGATAAAACCGGACTTGCTGAACATAGCGGACAAAGAGGACTACTGAGAACTCAAGAACAATGGCAATGGGTTTCTGATCCCACTGCACGTACTGGCTTTGTGGGAGCCTAGGCAGTTTAGATGCTCACCTTACTAGACCTGGATGGAGGTGGGTGGTCCTTGGACTTCCCACAGGGCAGGGAACCCTGATTGCTCTGTGGGCTGATGAGGGAGGGGGACTTGATTGGGGGAGGGGGAGGGAAATGGGAGGCGGTGGCGGGGAAGAGACAGAAATCTTTAATAAATAAATAAATATAAAAAAAAGATGTTGACTCAGTTCCTGAACAATTACCCACGTACATATGTTTTGACTCAGTCCCTGGGAAACGGGGTCAAAATGACCTCTTACCTCATCTGATCTGGCAACCACTCTTGAGCCAATTATTGGTAACAGCCCTTTTGAATAAGCCAATCATAACAGTCAAAGAACAACCCCCAGACACCCCCCTGCTTCTCTGGCTTTTTCCTTTAAAAGTAGCCTATACCAACTATTCGGGGTCTCTCCGCTTCCCGAATGCTGAGGGACCCTGTCATGACAGAATTAATAAAATCCTCATGCTTTTACATCAGCTGTGGTGTGAGACATGGTCTCTTGGGCCGACTCCTCCTCGGTGATTGGACTCTAGGGTCCAACAGTTTACACCAGTCACAGGAATGGTGCTCCCCCTCTGGCCCGAATGAAATCAGTCACTCTACTTCACCTAGCCTTTTGTTATTCCAAACCTTAAGCATAGACAGAAACAGACATGGCTGGGATAGTACCTTCCAAAGTCAGTGTTTTGCTTTGACATTAAGTAGCGGTGGTTGTTAGAGCCCACACCAGACTCTGCCCAGGTTATACCTGCCTGTAGCAGTCTCTCCTCCCTCATAGTGGATTCCTTTTAAAGGCCCCAGGCTAACAGACTCCAAGCTAACAGGAGCCTGTACCATGGATCCACCTTAACTAAATGGGCTCATCCTCTGCCTGTCCCCTTCCTCAGTCAGGGCCACACACATCCTTTCCTCACAAGACCCATTCATCGTCCAGCAGCCCCTGCTTCTGAGGGCTCAGAGACCTGATTACCAGGGTACTATGGACTGTTCATCAGTCACATGACATAGGCCCTTTCCCTCCTGAGACCTGTGAGAAAGGACTCAGACTCGGCCAAATGGGGTTGGACACTCCTCAGAGCGCCACCATGCTGCTGTGTGTCTATGTGATGGTTTAAGTTGCTGGGCTGGCGTGAGAGCAGTCCGTTAAGTTGCTGGGCTGACAGTCCTTTGCTTAGGTCACCAGGAAAGGGACCACAACCTTTCAATTACGTGAGAAACAAGACCCTCACTTTGTAATTACAAATTCAAGAGATGAGGGAAAGTTAAAGTTTTGTTTTACAATTCTGTAGACATGGATGTCGGCCTACTACAAATACTGGCCTACCAGTTTGGCACAAAACAGTGTTTTTTTTTTTTGGTGTTTATGTTTCAAGAAATAGTAATTTTTTTTGAAGGTCCTAATTGCAAAAGACAGCCTGCCCTCTTCCCATAGGCTGGTATTCCAGAGAGCTCCATGACCTTTGCTCTCACCTAGCAAAGCACCCTCGCCAAGCTCCCCATCCTATTGGCTTAGAACATACAGCCTTATCTATCCTATGTCCTAGGTCTTGGGATTCTCTCCTTTTCCGAGCGTCATTGGCTCAGTAACGTGACAGAGAGCCTGTCACTTTTCAACCCTAAGATAAACTGGAGTGCATAGACAAGCAGGCACCAGCTGTCAGCTCAGGGAAGACAGGGGTGTGGCTGGGGAACCCACGTTGGTGGCAGGGGTTGGGCTAGCGCCTCCGGCTTATCTGTTTAATTGTGCGCTAACCCACCTCATACTGAAAATGAAACATTATTATTTACTTAATAATAAAGTTTATTTTAATATTTAATAATGAGTTAATATTTAAATCTACTATTTAATAATAGAAAACTATTTAATATTTAATAACAGCTTATTTTTGTCTCAAGGTCCCAGGGAGTCAAAATTCACAGTGATGTAGAAGGCGTGGCAGCACACAATATTATTTCTTGCAAAATAAAGGATCAAAGGACCCCGGCCTCCATAAGCATAGGTTAAAGGGGAAAAAAAATAAAGACTACAACGAGTGCTTACAATAAAGGTCTATCATTAACACTTTAAAAAGAATTCAGCCGTGATTAACCAAACAGCCCTGGAAAAGGGGGCTCACTTAGTTACTTTAGCCTAAGGGTGGCTCGGGAAGAGCAGCGGCAGCAAAGGCGGCCTAGGGACAGCCGTGGGCCAGTGACCACAGGCACAGCGCGCGTGCGAGCAGGGAGAGCCGAGCGAGGGAGGCGGCGGCGCAGCCGGGCGGCCGGAAGGCCCGCGCAGAGCATCCGGGTGAGAGGCGGGAGGTCGGAGCGGCTTCCCGGGGCGCCGCCTCACCTCGTGGCGGGAGCTCGCGGCGGTGCACGGAGCCCGCCTCCCCGCGCGGACTCTCGCTGCTATGGTGCCGCTCGCGGGCGCCTGCGGAGGCGCCGCGGGTCCGCCCGCACGGGGGCGCCGGAGCGCGGCCATCGGGCCTTCCCTCCGCCCGCCGGAAGCGCTCTCCTGACCCTGCGCGCCGCGGGAAGATGGCGCTGGAAGCTGGCGACATGGAAGAGGGGCAGCTTTCCGACTCGGACTCCGACATGACGGTCGTCCCCAGCGACAGGCCGACGCAGATGGCGGTGAGCGAGAGGGAGCGCGGGAGACCGGGCTGGGCGCCGGGGGCCGCGAGGCCGGGATGGAGGGGCGCGGGCGGCCCCGGGATGCGGCGGCTCGGAGGCCGCGGGGCCCTGCCGGAGACTCGACCCCGCGGGGCCGCCGGCCTCCCGGCACGGGCGAACATCTCCTCGCTTGCGGCTCCTGCCTCTGCAGAGTCCCTGCTCCTGCACAGCCGCTCCCGGAGACAGGATTTGCCCAAAGGGAGAACGTGGGGACGGAGAGCTGTAACTGCGTTTGATGCTCATGTTTTTGTCCCTGGCGGATAGCGAGCTCCTCGCGTACCCGGGGCCTCGTTTTCAGTGTTCCCCCCGAGTTTGGTCAGCTCCCACGTGCAGCATGGAGGCACCAGGCTTTGTTTCTGCTGTCCGGGGATGCAGACGGCATCTCGCTGTGTCGCCCACGGCTGGACTGGCACGTGAGCTGTCGTCCTGCCTCCTAGGCTCCAGAAGTGCTGGGAGATCCCTCTGGAACGCTTCCTAATCTTCTGAGACTCCTAGTACTCCCGCAGAGGGCTACCCGCCAGGCTACCCGCACTCCATCCTCGGCACCGCCACTAGCTGCAAAATATTTAACTGCTCCGTTTTGGTGTTCAGGTGGGACTGGCGTGATGGACACTGTAAGGCCTGGCCAGTGTTGGCAGCGGATGTTACTGGCTTAAGACATCTCACTCGGTTTAAATACCTAAGAGGAACTCAATAAATGCGTGGTTTTGTGTTTAGTATAAAAAGCAAAGATTGAGGGCAAAATTACAGTTAGAAGAAATACACTCAGAGCTCTATTGCATGCCAGAGTGAGCGATTAATAATAGCGAATATTTCAGAATAGCCATGGGGTGGGGGTGTAGCTCAATTGGTAGAGTGTTTGCCTAGCATGCTGGAGGCCCTGAGTTCAAGCCCCCTCTACTTAAAAGCCAAGTGTAACCTCCCCCCATAAAAGGATTTTATTCACCATAAAGTCTTTTTTTTCACCGTAAAGAAATGACAAACGTTTAAAGTGATAAGTAGGCTAACAACCCTGATTTGGACATTACAAACTACATACACAAATTGAAGCATCATATTATACCACATAAATTTTTGTGGTTATTGTGTGGCGGTCAGATTTTTTAAGTATTATCTTTACATGTAGATGTCTTAGGAAATTAATACTAGGATCTTATTTTTCAGTTCCTTTAAAAGTTGTTTACGTTAAAAAGTTGGTTAACATAATGCTGTGAAAACTGAATTTTGAGGGGTTTTGTTGTTGTTGGATTTGAGTCAGGGTGTCTTTTTGTAGCCCAAAGTGTCCTCAAAACCAGGATCTTTCTGCCTCAGCCTCCTGATCTCTGATTAAAAGGTGTGACTGCTACACCTGATGGAACCTGCAGTTAAAAGTAATGTGTCTGGCCAGGCGGTGGTGGCACACGCCTTTAATCCCAGCACTTGGGAGGCAGAGGCAGGCAGATCTGTGTGAGTTCAAGACCAGCCTGGTCTACAAGAGCTAGTTCCAGGACAGGCTCCAAAACCACAGAGAAACCCTGTCTCGAAAAAACAAAAACAAAAAAAAGTAATATGTCTGGGATTCTTCCCCATAAGAGCTTTCCTTCAAATGTTTTGGTGTTTTTTTGTTGTTTTGTGTGTGTGTGTGTGTGTGTGTGTGTGTGTGTGTGAGAGAGAGAGAGAGGGGGGGGGTTTCACTATATAGACCTGGCTGGCCTTGAACTTACAGAGATTTGCCTGCCTCTGCCTCCAAAGAATGCTGGAATTGAAGTTGTGGGTCGCCAGGCTCTACTATCCCATCGAATCTTAAAGGAGTAGCTGCAGAACCATATAAGGGAAGTTGGTATATCCAATGAGAAAATACATTTTGGGGGAGAAAGATAACTGTCTTAACTGACAGTAACAATTATTGTGTATGTCATTCTTACAAATGTGATCTTTAAAGGTGAAAAGTAAAGGCTTTGGTACATTTTTTAGGTCTTTCAGAACTGAGTTAGCCGGGCGATGGTGGCGCACGCCTTTAATCCCAGCACTCGGGAGGCAGAGGCAGGCGGATCTCTGTGAGTTCGAGGCCAGTCTGGTCTACAGGACAGGCTCCAAAGCCACGGAGAAACCCTGTCTCGAAAAACCAAAAAAACAAACAAACAAACAGAACTGAGTTAATTTAATAGGGATTAGATTTGTTTCAGCTGTCTTTGGAGTGTGATTGTTTTGGACGCTCCGGCTGAATCTCCACTACACTTTTTCTCCCTCCTCTTTTCTCCTTATTAAGGTCTTGCTGTGCAACTCAGACAGGCCTGAACCCACTGTGTAACCTAAGTTGTCCTTAAACTTGTGATCCTCCTGCTTAGCCTCTGGAATGCTGGGGTGGCAGGCGTGCGCAGTACCTACATTGTTGTGGAAGCTAGCCCATGGTAGGTGGATGAATGTTTTGTGGAACTGACTGTAATTTCTCTCTCTTGCAGAAAGTACTAGGTGGGGGCAGTGTTGCCTGTGCACCAGTCACACACTACCGGACTGTTAAAAACGTGGACTCGAGTGAGGAGAGCGTGGATTCAGATGAAGAGTGCTCTCCTTGGAAACGTAAGAGACAGAAGTGTCATAATCCTCCTCCCGAACCAGAGCCTTTTCCACTTGGCCAGAGCAGTCAGAAAGCAGTCAATGGCGGAAAGAAGGTGAACAACATTTGGGGTGCCGTGCTTCAGGAACAAAACCAAGATGCAGTGGCCATTGAACTTGGCATCTTGGGAATGGAAGGCACCCTTGACAAAAGCAGGCAGTCTGAGACCTATAATTATTTGCTTGCTAAGAAACTAAGACGGGAATCTCAAGAGTATACGAAGGAATTAGACAAAGATCTAGATGAATATATGCATGGTGACAAAAAAACAGGGTCAAAGGAGGAAGAGAATGGGCAAGGCCACCTCAAACGGAAACGGCCTGTCAAAGACAGACTGGGTAACAGACTAGAAATGAACTACAAAGGCCGCTATGAGATCACAGAAGATGACTCTCAGGAGAAAGTGGCTGATGAGATTGCTTTCAGGTAAGCACTTGACTACATATCCGCTATTTACAGGAAGAAAATAGATGTTAAATACATTCTTTGTGAGGTTGTTTTTATTTGCTTGATTTTAGGGTCTCTATAGTCCCTGCTGTCTGGAACTTGCTATGTAGACCTGGCTGGCCTCAAACTCACAGAGATCCATCTGCCTCTCAGAGCTGGAGTTAAAGGTGTCTGTCACACCTGGCTGAGGGTTTGGTTTGGTTTGGTTTGGTTTTTCTTAAAGGAATCAACCCAGGGCATATTTGACTATGAATGCATTTGTGTCTTTTTTTTAAATGTACATTGGTTTGAAGGTGTCAGATCCCCTGGAATTGAAATTACAGACATTTGTGAGCTACCGTGTGGTTACTGGGAATTGAATCCGGGTCCTCTGGAAGAGCAATCAGTGCTCTTAACTGCCAAGCCATCTCTTCAACCCCTACATTTGTGTCTTTTTTTTTTTTTTTAATATTTATTTACTTATTATGTATACAATATTCTTTCTGCCTGTATGCCTGAAGGCCAGAAGAGGGCACCAGATCTCATTTCAGATGGTTGTGAGCCACCATGTGGTTGCTGGGAATTGAACTCAGGACCTTTGGAAGAGCAGGCAACGCTCTTAACCACTGAGCCATCTCTCCAGCCCCATTTGTGTCTTTTTAAAGATAACTTTGAACTGGAAACTTGGTACAGTGCTTGACTAGCATGCATGAGACCCCGAGTTCAATCCTTAGTACCCCATAAACTGGGCATAGTGTTACATGCCTGTAATCCCAGCACTAAGGAGATGGGAGATCAAAAGTTTAAGATAATGAGTTCTCAGCTACATGATGCCAGCCTGGGCTAGATGAAATACTGTCTCAAAAGGGGGAAAAATCGGGGGTGGGGGTGGGGGGCTGGCAAGATGGCTCCGCTGCTCCCCAAACCTGGTGTCAGTTTAATTCCTGATCCCATGTGGTAGGAGTAGAGAACTGCCTCCTGCAACTCTCCTGACCTCCACATTCGTCCACGCAAATAAATGGATGTAATTTTTTACCATTATTTCTAAGATGAAAAGTAAAATATATGTTAATATGATAATCACTCTTCAGATATTGATTTTTTTTTTAATGGAGACAAATCTGGTTTTACAACCATTGCTTTTATTATTATATTTTACAACCATTGCATTTAAAACCTTTCTCTCATCACCCAGGAAAATTCTTTGTGTCCGTGTCCATATACCCATTTACTGTAAATACCCTTCTCTCCTTCCCAGACAGGCATACTTTCTGTCCTTGTAAATTTGCCATACACATGCAGCCATAGCGGTATTCATTTTTGTAGGTTTTTTTTTTTTTTTCCAAAGCAGGATTTCTCTGCCTCTGTAGTTCTGTAGACCAGGCTGGCCTTGAACTCAAAGATCCACCTGCCTCTGTCTCCCGAGTGCTGGGATGAAAGGCGTGCACCACTTGCTATGCCTAGCTATTTATTAATTAATAAATGAGGAGTGTTGCTTTTTGTGTATTTTCGGGTTTGTTTTGGGAAAGGTCTCCCATAACCCAGGCCAGCCTCAAACTTACTATGTAACAAGGTGGGTCTTGAAATCTGATTCTCCTGTCTCTACTCCCAAAGGCTGGGATTGTAGATATTCGCGACCATACTCTGACCCTGTGTTTTTATTGCTTGTGTATAGATTGGTGTATCTCCAGACTGAATGGGTAGTCTGCGTTTATTTATTATGAATAATGCTGTTAATGAACACCTTTGCTTGTAAATCCTTTATGTTCATTTCTTTTGGGTAAATAGAATTGTTTGGCAGATACTAAATTGTTAATTCATGCATTTTTCACAGGTTCAGATTCTAACTTACTAGCTCTAAGTCACTAGTCACATATTTGAAAATAAGTATTGCTGTCAGGAAACAACTGTTTCAGGCAATGTCTGTGCTGGTTAGTTTTGTTTTGGGTTTTTGTTTGTTTTTCTTTTTAATTGTCAAGGTGGTTGCGGCCTGGAGCGGTGGCTCATTAGTTAGTAGCACTGGCTGTTCTTCCCGAGGATCCAGGTTCAATTCCCAGCATCCACATGGCAGCTCACAGCCATCTGTAACTCCAGTCCCAGGCAATTGAAGACCCTCTTTTGACCTTTGCGGGCATTGTGTGCATATGGTGCATGCACATGTATACATACAGGCAAAACACTCAGACAAAAAATAAAACAGTCAAAATGAGGCTGGGTTTCAAGTCCAGTTGCAGGGGACCTAGCATCCTCTTCTGGCCTCCTGGGCATCAAACATGAGACATACACGCAGGTAATAGATACACCTACACCTTCAAAAAATTTTAAATAGAAGTTTGGAATTTGTATTCTGAAGAAATGTAGAATTTATAAATCAAAGTCTCCTTCAGCAACGAGGAAACTGAGGCCCAGGAGTTACCTGGCTTGCACAAGGTTGTTGACTTTGTGAGGGTCAGACCTGAAGCTGAATCTTGGTTACCTGTTCCTCCTAGTCTGATGTCTTTTCCACAGTATTGCATAGCTTCCTGTGAGGAGAAACCAAGGTACTGGGTCTGACTGGAAACGTCTTCCGCACTGTTTCTTGTCTATGGGGACCATGGGCTCTATTTGACCCAATTAGTAGAGTTCCTCCAGCTCCCTGTATTTGTTTCATTTACTGCTTTTTTGAAATGGGGTCTGTTGTATGTTTTACTCTTTTGGCTTTTTTAGGGGGCCTGCTATCCAGCTCAAAATCACACATGGAGGCTTATTCTTAATTATGAATGCCCACCCTTAGCTTGGCTTTTTTCTTGCCAGCTTTTCTTAGTTTAAATTATGGATCATCTACCTTTCCTCCCTGGACTTTTATATTTTTCTAATTCTTTCCTTGTTACTCAGTGGCTGTCTGGTGTCCTTCTCGTTCTCTTGTTTGCCTTTTTCTCGCCTCTCCTTTTTTACTCTCTGCCTGCCAGCCCCGCCTATCCTTGCTTCTGCCACCCTGTTGGCCGTTCAACTCTTCATTAGCCCATCAGGTGTTTTAGAGAGGCAGCGAATCACAGCTTCACAGTTAATCAAATGCGGTATAAACAAAAGTCACACACCTGAAAATTTTATTCCCCAACAAGGGTCTGTCTGTCTGTCTGTCTGTCTTTATTTATTTATTTATTTATTTATTTTTATTTTTTTCTCCCCAGACAAGGTTTCTCTGTGTAGCTTTGGAGTCTGTCCTGGAACTCTTATCTGTAGACCGGACTGGTGTCGAACTCACAGAAATCCCCTGTCTCTGCTTTCTGGGTGCTGGGATTAAAGGCGTGTGTCATCGTGCCTGGCACTCCCTGTATTATTCATCTCTGAAGAGTAGGATGAAAATAATGTCTAACATTTGGAAGAACTGACGTGTGCAGATAAGGCCAGCCATTAGGATTAAGCTGTAAGAAACCATCGGAGGTTAATTTTGAAGCAGAATAACTGAAAGCATGCTATGTGTTTGTTAGTTGTCTTGGCAGAAGTGCACGAGTTTATCACCTTTACATTTAGAGCTGAATTCATGCACCTCACTCAGCGCGCTTTTGAAACTGCCATAATCCAAACGGCAAGAAGAGCCTTAGTTAAGAACAGATATGGGGCTTGAGGTTAGCAGCTCCAGTGATTCCACGGCTCATGGGTGGAGAGTAGAAAAGCGGGTGTTAGCAGGAAGATTTGAATTCCAGTTGTGAACTGCACTGGGGGTTAAAGTAGATTTCAACAGGTAGTAATTGCTTTGTGTTCTCAACAGGTTACAGGAACCGAAGAAAGACCTGATAGCCCGAGTAGTGAGGATACTTGGGACCAAAAAAGCCATTGAACTCTTGATGGAAACTGCTGAAGTTGAACAGAATGGTGGTCTTTTCATAATGGTAATGCTAATACTGTTTCTGGGCTTGGTTTTGGGAGTTTTTGTTTGTTTGGTTGGTTAGTTTTGGTTTGGGTTTTTTGAAACAGAGTTTCTCTGACTGACTGGCTGGGGGGAGCTTTCTCTGCAGACTAGGGTTGGCCTCAAACTCAAAAGAGTTTTCTCCCCAGACAAGGTTTTTCTGTGTAGCTTTGGAGTCTGTCCTGGACCTCTATCTGTAAAGTGGGCTGGCGTCGAACTCACAGAAATCCCCTGCCTCTGCCTCCTGAGTACTGGGATTAAAGGCGTGTTCCACCACTGCCTGGCACCTGTTTCTGGGTTTATAGTATTATCTGTATTTTATTTATTTAAGCAAAATTAACTTGCCTCTCTGCCCCCCCCCCATGACCCGGTTTCACTATGTAGCTCCACTATCCTTAGACTCTACCACCCCAGCCTCATCAGTGCTGATTCTGTAGGCTGTCATTTACCCTCTTACAGGAATAATTTTAAGACAACTGTGTAGAAGGAACCGAAAGCCCAAGTTGGAAGGCTTTGTTTTTTGAGCACAACTTACTGTGGTTTAGCTAAATTATTCAATTTCTTGTGCTCAGTCTCCTCGGGTAGAAAATGAGGAAGAATCCTTTGCTATAAGGATTAGATGAGATGGTACACAACTTAGCTTAGTGCCTGGCATTATGGTTGCAAGGCCAGCCTAGTTTACAGAGTAAGACCCTGTCAAGAAAACACTTAAGTTATAATAATAATAAGCCAAATAGAACTGAGTATGATGGGATTTGTCTGCAACCTCAACATTCAGGAAGCCAAGGCTTAAGATTGCTTAGGGTTCCAGGCAGCCTAGGCAAGACCCTGCCTCAAAAATAAGCCAAATCACAAATAGATACATAGTAAAACTGCATGATTAAGAGTTCAAGGGTAGACTGGAGAGATGGCTCAGAGGTTAAGAGCACTGGCTACTTGCTCTTCCAGAGGTCCCAAGTTCAGTTCCCAGTGACACATGGTGGCTCACAACCATCTATAATGACATCTGGTGCCTTCTCCTGGCCTGAAGGCAGGCAGATCACTTTATACATAATAAATAAATGAACTTTAAAAAAAAAAAAGCTCAGGTAAGAAAGAAAACTATCTGGAACAATCCACATGTGGGAGAGCAATGACAGGAAAGGCAGTTGAGAAAAATGGCTCATTGTTTGTATGCTGGCCAGACTACCGACAGTGTCTCTGTGAAAATGGTTTTACAGATTTCATTAATTCAGCTTAACTGTGAAATAAGGATGAAAGTGTGGATGTCTTTCTTCTGCTCTTGGTTTGTAGTGTGTTACCCCGTAGGCACAGCACAGGTAGTAACCTGCTGTGGACCGACAAGTTAAGAGCTCGTGGTGTTCTTGAGAGGCCCTGTTTAGTTCCCAGCACCCCTGTTGGATGGCTCACAGCCTCCTTTAACTCCAGCCCCACAGGGCTCCAAGGCACCAGCACTCACACTATCACACATAATGTTTAAAATTAACAAATTTGAAAAAGAATTGAGAACATTGCTGAAAAAATAGCCTATAATCTTAAATTATAGAAATTTGCAACAAAAGATAAAATTAATCATATAGGCTATTTAGATTTTCATTTACTTGAACTTTATGAAGATCAAAATTTATTAGTAATATTGTAATTTTTTTAAAAAGAAAACTCTGGGGCTGGAGAGATGGCTCAGTGGTTAAGAGCATTGCCTGCTCTTCCAAAAGTCCTGAGTTCAATTCCCAGCAACCACATGGTGGCTCACAACCATCTGTAATGAGGTCTGGTGCCCTCTTCTGGCCTGCAGACATACACACAGACAGAATATTGTATACATAACAAATAAATAAATACATATTTAAAAAAAGAAAACTGTTCCAGTGAGTTAATGCTGGTCTACTGAATATTGAGATGTGAGTTCAAGTGCACGTTTGATATATCCTTTTTGAATAGAGTGCCTGCTTTGTATTGAGAGCTGTTGAGTCTGAAGACAGGAAAAACTCAGTTTATTGCAGTAATTATAAAGGTGGCACATGCCTATAATCCCAGCACTTAAGGCAGAGACAGAGGATCGCTGAGCTGAGCTACCTAGTAAGTTTCTGACTCACTACCCTACATGATGAGAACCTGTCTCATAAAAAGGGGGGGAGGTAGTAGTGGCACATGCCTGTAATCCCAGCACTCAGGAGACAGAGGCAGGCAGATCTCTGAGTTCGAGGCCAGCCTGGTCTACAAAGCAAGTTCCAGGGCAGGCACCAAAACTATAGAGAAACCTTGTCTCAAAAAAACAAAACAAAATAAAGGCCTTTGAAATGGCTTAGTAGGTAAAGACGTTTTTTTTTTGTTTTTGTTTTTTGGTTGAAATTATATTTATTGCTTTTTTTTTTTTTTAAAAAGTTAAACTTTTTTTTTGAAGAAAGGTGTGCACACATGAGAAGTTCAGTGGACAATTTGCAGAAGTTTGCTAACTGTTCCATGCCATGACTCCACCATGGGTGGGACCAGGGATGAACTCAGAACATCAAGCTTGGCGAAAACGTCTTTACCGCCGGGCGGTGGTGGCGCACGCCTTTAATCCCAAGTGTATTAGCACTGAGAGAAAAGAAATAGATCGAATGGAGGTATAAGGGAAGAGGGCAGAGAAGAGTAAATATGGTCAGGGTAGAGGTCTGAACTGGCTTAAAAGGCAGAATAGTAAGTACTAATACTGATTTATAATGCTTTGACCATTAGTCCAGTATTAATGAATCTGTGTGTGTGCGTGCATTTTGTTTGATTGGTGTTTGATTTGTTGTCACTTTGGTGGGTGATTAAACCCAGTCTTGTGCAAAACATGCCCTTTTCCACTGAGCTACACCTTAACCCCAACAGATTGTTTTAAATAGAGTGTCCTTAAGCAGTATTCAAGTTTGAACAAATTAATGTTGTACTGCATGTACTGCATGTTTTAATTTGCTAATTCAGTGTTGGTGGCAACTTTATAGAATATGTCATCATGAGTAGTGGGAAGTAACAGTAGATACATATATCTTAGTGTGTATATTTAAATCTAAAAATCTTTTTTTTTTTTTTTTTTTTTTTTTTTAGTTTTTTGAGACAGGGTTTCTCTGTAGCTTTGGAGCCTGTCTGTCCTGGCACTAGCTCTTATAGACCAGGCTGGCCTCGAACTCACAGAGATCCGCCTGCCTCTGCCTCCCAAGTGCTGGGATTAAAGGCATGCGCCACCACCGCCCGGTTTAAATCTAAAAATCTTAAAAAGAGCCAGAATCAGATCTGGGTTTCAAATCTGGTCCTGGCTGTCTCCATACGCATATGTCTATTGAGATATATCTTGGTCATTCATGAAGCCCGTGGCCTGGGAACTGGGCTTGTAGCTTGGTGACTTTCCTAGCATGGCAAAGGCCCTGATTTCTATCTCAGCACTGGTAAATAAGTAATCAGTCTTTGCGTATAAAATTGTTGCAAAATAAATTGGAAATATTCTCGAAAAATTGCCTATGGAAATGTCCATATAATTTACTCTTTTTAATTCCTTTCCGTAGAATGGTAGTCGAAGAAGAACACCCGGTGGGGTTTTTCTGAATCTCCTGAAGAACACTCCTAGCATCAGTGAAGACCAAATTAAGGTAATGACAATGACTGTGTCCTTGGCTTTATGATGCATCAAAAAGCCAGCCAGACTTGTGAAAATACACACTTGTAATCCCAACATGCAGAGGCAGAGGCAGGAGTGTAGGAGGAGGGCCCGTGCACATCCCAGGAAAGATTCCATTTTAAAAGATAGAGGGAAGTCAGGCAGGGTGGTGCTTGCCTTTAATCCCAGCACACAGGTACAGGTGGGGGTAGGTGGATCTCTGTGAGTTTGAGGCCGGACAGCTATATGAGAGCCTGTCTCAGAAAGAGGAGATAGAAAGATGCATAGTTCTTTTTGGACTTCTACTCAGTCTTTCTTCCTTCTTTCCCTCCCACATTCTTCCTTCTTCCTTCCTTTTTTTTTTTTTTTTTTTTTGTTGTTGTTGTTGTTTAGTTGTCCTGGAACTCACTTTGTAGACCAGGCTGGCCTCAAACTCACAGACATCCTCCTGCCTCTGCCTTCTGTGTTCTGGTTTAAAGGTGTGTGCCATCACCACCTGGCTAGTCTAGCGTTTTGAGGATTGGTTTTAAGAACATGCAGTTGGGCCAGTGAGAGGGTTCAGTGGGTAAAGGTGCTGGCCACTAAGGCATACAACCTGAGTTTAGTCCTAGGTCCCACATGGTGGGCCTGCAGAACTGACCCCTGCTAGTTGTCTTCTGACCACATGTGCACAAGCATGCACACACACAAATAAGTGTAATAAAATTTTCTGCAGGTGCAGTAAAAGTGAGTTTGAGAACTAGGGTGTAGCTCAGTAGTGTAGCATGTGCTTAGTTTGCCCAAAAACCCAAGTTCAATAAAGAAAAGAGAAAGACTCTTTTAAATGTCAAATGTAAGGCTGGCTAGATGCCTCCAATGGTAAAAGCGTTTGCCATGCCAGACATATAATCTGTCATGATGCTGCAACTAGCCTTTTAATTGCCACAATGGTGACAGTCAGTCTATAGAGTTTGGAAGGCAAAACCAGATTTACTGAGTAGAGCTTTTTGTTTTGGCTTTTTTGTTGTTATTTTTGGTTTGGTTTAGTGTGTGTGTGTGTGTGTGTGTGTGTGTGTGTGTGTGTGTAAAAATGAGAAGGTAAGTTTGGTTTTTGCTTTTGAGACCAGTCTCACTATGTAGCCCTGGCTTGCCTCTGCTTCCTGAGTGCTGGGGATTAAAGGTGTGCACCACCATGCCCCACCTGCAGTTTCTTTTTAATAAGACTTGCAGTGTTTGGTGGGAAAGGAACTTCATAATCATTTATGCAAGATATTATTAGAGTTTTTTTTTAAGCTCAAGATGCTTAATAAATTAAAATGTGCTTCTATATAAAATAAAAGTGCATCTTAACCTCTTGAAACCAGGTTGTGATTTCAAGGATTACAGAATTACATACCTGTAATTCCAGCACTTGGGAGGCAGGGGCAGGAGGATGCTCACAATTTGAGGCCAGCCTGGTCTACAGAGTGAGTTCCAGCCTGGCCAGGGCAGTGTAGTGAGACGATCTCATAACAAGCATATATTTACTGGTACTAGTTTTGTGCCTCAGAAAGAATTTTTGACTGTCAGAATTTGGGGTGCCATAGCTATATACTACAAGTAGTGAGTGAAGACTACATATCCAGCCTGGAGTTTCAGCAGTGCCAGTGATAGAAAGCATTGTACTCTTCAGTGTTTGTTTTGTGTTTGTGTTTACCCTGCATGTGTGTATGCATCCCATGTGTGTACAGTGCTCTCAGCCCAGAGGGGAGTGTGTTGGGTCTCCCTGAAACTGGAGTTACAGGTAGTTGTAAGTCAACATGTTGGTACTGGGAACTGAACCCAGGTCTGGACAAGCAGTAAGTACTCTTAACTGCCATCTTTCCAGCTTCTACAATAGTATTCTTTTTTTTTTTTAATTTTTGTTTATTATGTAGACAGTGTTCTGCCTGCATGTATGCCTGCAGGCCAGAAGAGGTCACCAGATTGCATCACAGATGGTTGTGAGCCACCATGTGGTTGCTGGGAACTGAACTCAGGGCCTCTGGAAGAGCAGTCAGTGCTCTTAACCTCTGCGCCATCTCTCCATCCCTACAATAGTATTCTTAGATGAAATTGTTACATTTTGTAAATGGTATGTTCTTAAATAGGTCAGTTTAATTTCGTAGCACAGGTAGTCATATGTAGTTAAGATGTTTCAAAGTCAGTATGTCTTTAATCTTTTATTCAGGTTTTTGTGTTATCAGTTACAGTTTATTTAAATTCTAAACAAAATTTCCCCATGGTAGTTTCTCTTTTAGCAAACAGGTATGGGACGGTGTCCTCACAGTAGATTGGTTATGAGAAATGGATGACGATAAAAGGCCTGCCTCATAATATACGTATAACAAATAATATGGGATGGCTTTTGTTTTGTTATTTTTAGCCAAAGTTGTTTTTATTTCAGGACATTTTCTACATTGAAAATCAAAAGGAATATGAAAATAAAAAAGCTGCTAGAAAAAGAAGAACACAACTATTGGGGAAAAAAATGAAACAAGCTATTAAAAGTCTGAATTTTCAAGAGGATGATGACACATCACGAGAAACTTTTGCAAGTGACACTAACGAGGCCCTGGCCTCCCTTGATGAAGCCCAGGAAGGAGCTGGCGAAACCAAACTGGATGCAGAGGAAGCCATCGAGGTGGACCATCCTCAGGATTTGGACATATTTTAGGCACGTTTTGGACGTTCTGAAGATAAACCTTTGTACAAACATAGTTTCCATTTCTGCTGAGGTTGCTGTGCTGTGCACCGAATCTAGAGAATGGAGAGCTGTTGCTGTTTCCTGTTTGAAGTGAATACGCGTGTGGGCAGTCGAGCGCCATTGAAGGCGGTGTTAAGGTGGCCATGCCTGTCGGGTGTGCAGCACAGGTCTGATTTCTCATCCTGCTGCCTGCACTGACTGTTAAGGCCCGGGTCTACCTGCGGTCGCTCTGTCCAGCTCACCGTTTCATGCCGTTAAGAAGCTTTTGTTTTCTGATTTATCTTGGTGGCGAACTATGCTTTGGTTTTAACACATTCCATTAAAATATGCTAAAATGTACATAAATTGTTCAGCTCTTGCATCCAATTGTTCCTGTAGGGTGGGCAGAATCTTGGTATGAACCAACATCTTGTCTTTCTGCTTCAGCCTAAGTAGTGCTAAGATTATGGATTTATGCCACCGTGTTCTATTGTTTGGCAATTTTTAAAAAGCTATTTATTATTAGATGGGTAAGAGTTGGAGGTGTGGGAGCCATGCATGTTGTGGTCAAAGGGCAGTTTTGTGGAGTTAGGTGTTTCTTTCCCTTTAAGTGGGCTCTAGGTTGTAAGGCCTGCACTTCAAACATCTATCTGCTGAGCCATCTCACTAACCCCTTTCCGGCACTCTTAAAGACAGAAACAAGTGTGTGGAAGCTGCTTGCCATCTGTTGAAAGCAAATAAATAGCAGAAGCTTTTTTCTTTCTTTCTTTTTTTTTTTTTTTTTGAGATAGGATTTTAATAATATAATTTGGGCTGTTCTTAGAACTCATTGTGTAGACCAGGCTGGCCTCAAATTCGCTAAGTAGCAAATGATGGCCTTGAATATCTCATCGTCCTGCCTCTTCCTCCCAAGTGCTGTGGTTAAGGCGTGCACCACCACTTGGTTTCTCCAGTGTGAAAGCCTGAACTTAAGGTTCAGTCATGCCGAGTTAGTACCACCAACTGATCTGCATCCTGAGGCTCTAGAGAGTCAGCAGACTTTCCTGTTTGTCAAATCCGCAATGTCTCCAGCTATTATCATGTTTTAATTGATGATAGTGTTTTTCACAAAGAGACTTAAATAGCTCCGAGCTGCATACTCCTAGCTACTAAGGGTTGCTGTGGCATTAGCAGGACAATTGTTACATCAACGGCAGCAGTTTCATCAGAATTAGGCTGTGTGAGGTTCTAGGTAAGAATTTTGTCATTGCTGCCAGTGATGGCTTTGGAAAAAGATGCCTGTCCTGCTTTGCCGAAACTGGACAAGAGCAGTACAGCAGGGAATGCAGCGAAGCCTGCCAATAAGTGAGGACCTTGGGGTTCCGGGCTGCTGGTTTGCTGTTTGTAGTAGAGATGGTGTAGGGCCTCACACAAGCTAGGCAAGTGATCTACCATTGAGCTTCATCAGCCTCCTCATTACACCCCCAGGAAAGGGTCTTGTGTAGTCCAAGCTGGCTTTGACCTCCTTATATAAGGTGGCTGAGAATGGCCTTGGACTCAGTCTGCTTCTACCTCCAGAGTGCTCGAGGTGCTGGTGAGCACCACCTAGCAGTGTAGAGATGGGACCCAGTCCTTATGAGTGCTAGGTAAGCTCTCTACCACCTACTTTTCATCCCTTGTCCCTGGCAGCCCCTCAATATTGTTATTCTTCTGGGGTTTTTTTTTGTTTGTTTTTTTGTTTTTTTTTTTAATTAAAACACCCATTACTTGGATGTGTGTGTGTGTGTGGTGTGTATGTCCTTGGAGGCTACAAGAGGATATCAGATTTGTGGGGAACTGGAACCATAGGCAGATGTGAGCAGCCCAGGTGGGAGCTGGGAACTGAACCCTTGTCTTCAGGATAGAACATTCAAGTGCTCTTAACTGCTGCAGCCTCTAAGTTTTTTTTTTTTGTTTTTTGTTGTTTTTTTTTTTTTTTTTAAAAATAGGTTCTCTTATAATAAATACACTCTGACCAATTTCCTTTTCCTCCATTCCTTCTAACCCCCACCACCTTCCCTTCCTCCTGTTTCCTCATAAGAAAAGAGCAGGTCTCTAGAGAGGACAGCCCAACAGGACAAAACAAGATGAACAAGCCTGGACAAAGCAATCCAATAGGAAGAAGAGTCTCAAGAGCAGGCAAAAGAGTCAGAGATAGACCTGCTCCTACTGTTAAAGAGTCCCATAAAAAGTCCCAGCTAAGCCGGGCTGTGGTGGCACACGCCTTTAATCCCAGCACTCGGGAGGCAGAGTCAGGTAGATCTCTGAGTTTGAGGCCAGCCTGAGCTGGAGAGATGGCTCAGCAGTTAAGAACACTGGTTGCTTTTCCAAAGTTCCTGAAATCAGTTCCCAACAACCACATGGTGGCTCACAACCACCTGTAATGAGATCTTCTGGCCTGCAGGCAGAATACTGTCTACATAATAAAATCTTAAAAAGAATTCACTTTATTTAAAACAAGCAAACAAAAAACTCCAAGCTAACAGCCATAGCATATGCAGAGGACCAAGTGCAGACCCATGCTGGCCCCGTGCTTGCTGTTTCAGCTGAGCCCATGTGAGCCCTTAGTTGAGCCAATGGGCCATGTTTGCCTGGTGTCCTCCATCCTCCCCCTCTCCCCCCACTCATACAGTCTTTCCTCCCCCTTCTGGGGTAGTGTCTCCTTAAATTCCTTGTGAGGCCTCTGCCTCTGCTTCCCAAATAGCTGGGATTGCAGGCGTCCACTATCAACTCTCAAGTGAGTCCTGGGTTTTCTGTCCATTTATTAAGCAGTCTGGGACATGGAAGAGCATAGTAAATTTGAGTTTTGTCTTAGCTACTTTTTTATTGCTGTGAAGAGACACCATGGCCAAGGCAACTTATAGAAGGAGTTCATAAGAAGCTTATGGTTTCAGAGGGTTAGCCCATGACCGTCAATGTCAGGGAGCATAGTGGCAGGCAGGCAGGCAGGCATACTGAAACAGCTCACATCTTATAAGCAAGCACAAGGCAGAGAGAGAGAGTGAGAGTGTGTGCGCGTGAGCTAACTGGGAATGGCAAGTTAACTCAACCCCCTTTCTCCTTTCCTAGCTTCAGGAGTGAGGAGATTCACTTGCCACGCTTCTCACTAAAGCAAGGCATGATCCCGACACGTTACGTTATGCCTTGGAAAGAAAGCATGAAATTCAGGAATGTGAATCTGAAGGTATTTTCTCACCAATATTCAGGTTAAAGTCTGCCTATGGCTGTTAGAGATAGATGCTTTCCACCAGGCCTGACCTGGGGCCCACAGGATGGAAGGAGAAATCTGGTTCCTCCAAGTTGTCCTCTGGCCTGCGCGCACACACATGTGCCCACTAAACAAACTAAATGTGATAATAAAAATAGAACCAATTTTGTATAATTTCTAAGGTATATATAGCAATGCAAAAAACTCATTTTTTGTATTTTCACATATACTTGTAAACAAAAATAACCCAAATGCAAACTTAAAGTGGACGCATGACACCATTTGAGGTCTCGTCCACTCCTGGGCAGTGCTGGAGGCTGAGCCGGCGTGGGTGGCAAGTCGGCATGAGTAGTAAAGCTACAGCACAGGAGCTCCGTTTGAGACCGTGCTGGATATTCAGGCAGAGCGCCAGGGAAGCGGCTGGTCTAGGTTTGCAGGTAAGACTTGCCCCTCGGTGCTGCTAGCCAATTTGAAAATGTTTTCCAAATTCAAACTGGCCGTTATAGGGCACTTCTTTTCCCTCCCCTCCCCTCTCCCTCCTCTCTTCCTCTTGTTCTTTCCACTTCTCACCACCCCCTCTCAAACTGAGTTTCAACTCTGGAGCCCAGATTCTCCTAGAACTGACTATATAGCCCAAGCTGGCTTTGAACTCATGGTTATCCTCCTGCCTTAGTTTCTCCAGAGCTAGGATTACAGACATGGGCCAACATACCTCTCTAGTAAGTTACTTCTTTAAAGAGTTAGAATGTATTAAACTATAAATTATTTGAATTTTTTTTTTTTTCGAGACAGGGTTTCTCTGTGGTTTTGGAGCCTGTCCTGGAACTAGCTCTTGTAGACCAGGCTGGTCTCGAACTCACAGAGATCCGCCTGCCTCTGCCTCCCAAGTGCTGGGATTAAAGGCGTGTGCCACCACCGCCTGGCGAAATTTTCAATAGAATAGTTAATGTTGAATAAGAGTGTGTTTTGACAAGGCAGGAAAGTCTTAGAAATTATAAATAATTAAATGGAATAAAATAAATTATAAAACATGGCTCAACTATTGCCATATAAAATGCTCATATATAATGCTATAAAATAAAAAGTTGCATTTTCCTTGAGATATATGGGGGGTTTGTTGGATTTTTTGGTTTGGTTTTGGGTTTTGTTTGTTTGTTTTTGAGAGAGGGCTTCTCCCTAGCTGTCTCACCTACCTCTGCCTCCTGAGTACTGGAATTAAAGGTGTGCACCACCACTGTCCAGCTTGAAATATTTTTTATCTAATACTTAAAAAACAAAACCTAAAGAAATTAAAATAAGACTTTCTTAAATTTTGGGGTGTGTGTGTGTGTGTGTGTGTGTGTGTGTGTATGAGAGAGAGAGAGAGACAAAGAGACAAAGTCTTATTATATATTCCTGGTTATCTTGGAACTTGTATATAGACAAGGCTAGGCTCAAACTCAGATCCACCTGATCTCCCTCCCAAATGCTGGAATTAAAGGTGTGTACCACCATGACTGGCTTTTCTTCAGTCTTAATATTGGGATCTATTTTATATAATTTGATGGCGTAATGAATAGCATTGCAGAGACTGGAGAGAGTGTGGTTAAGAGCACTAGCTGCTCTTCCAGAGGGCCAGGGCTCTGCCAGCACCTACATGGCAGATCACAACTGTAATTCCAATTCTAGGGAATCTGACATTCTCACAGAGACATATATACAGGCAAAACACCAATACACATAAAAAAATAGAAAAAATTAATAGCATTGCATGGTGAGACACTGCTTTTAACTATTCTTTTCACCTATTAGAAATACAAGATAAAAACTTTATGAACTGAAATTGGAAATACTGAATGTATTAAAGAAAGCTTGCTTGCTTTTATAAAAGGTATGTTTTATTTTGTCTTTCTGTTGCTGTGAAGAGACACCATGACCACAGCAACTCTTATAAAGGAAAACATTTAATTGAGGTGGCTTACATTTTTAGAGGTTTAGTCCATTATTATGGCACGACGTGGGAGAGTAGAGGCAGACATGGTGCTGGAGAAGGGGCTGAGAGTCCTACATCTTGATCTCCAGGCAACAGGAAGTTAACTATATACCACTTTGAGCATAGCTTGAACAAAGGAGACCTCAGAGCCCACCCCCACAGTGACACACTTCCTCCAACAAGGTCACACCTACTCTAATAAGGCTACACCTCCTAATGGTGTCACCCCCTATGAGCTTATGAGGGCCAATTACCTTAAAACTACCACACATTTATGTATAAGTGTGTGTGTGTGGGGGCTCTGGTTGGTTCACCAGGTGGGTCCCAGGGACTGAACTCCAGTCATTAGACTTGACAGCAGGAGCCTTTACCACCTGAGCCATCTCATTAGCCCCTCCTCCTTGTGTTGTTTTTGTTGTTGTTGTTTTGTTTGGGTGTGAGGGTTGACCCATTAGGCTTCCCTGTGGTGCTGGGCACACTCTACCACTGAGCTGCCATCTTCAGCTGGATCTTTTTAGTGTTTTTAAGGATGCTTCACTTTTACAGTTGTAGGTTAATGTATTCCCAACAACTTTTACAATATTACCGGTGACTCTGTGTGTGTGTGTCTGTGTCTGTGTGTCTGTGCGTGGGTGTGGGTATGCAGAATTCTACCTTAAACAGTTACCATGAATGAAGTATAAAGAATAAAATGAAATAGCATGCTCACACTGAGTAACAGTTACTGTGCTGTAGCTTGCTCTTCCCTTTGCCTTAGATGCTGACATACTTGCATAAACGTAATTTAAAAATTAAAAAGAAAGGGCTGGAGGGATGGCTCAGCGGTTAAGAGCACTGACTGTTCTTCCAGAGATCCTGAGTTCAACTCCCAGCAACCACATGGTGGCTCACAACCATCTGTAATGAGATCTGGTGCCCTCTTCTGGCCTGTAAGCATGCATGTAGACAGAAAATTGTATAAGAAATAAATCTTTAAAAAATTTAAACAGAAAAAAAAAGCCAGAAAAAAGCCAGACATGGTGGCACACGCATTTAATCCCAGCACTTGGGAGGCAGAGGCAGGAGAATCTCTGTGAGTTCAAAGCCAGGCTGGTTTAGATATCAAGTTACAGGCCAGCCAACTACCTAGTGAGCCTATAAGAGCACTGGCTGATCCTCCAGAGGACCTGTGTTCAATTTTCAGCACCCACATTAGCAATACACTCTAATATAGTCACTGAGTGGGGGAGGAGAAAGAGAAAAAGTCTTTAAATCTAACATGAAGATTAGTCCCAGCCACTGCCAGCACTATTCAGCAGAGTGTTTTCTCTCTTAGCAAGCGGAAGCGTGTGGGATCTATGCTGGCCCCTTGGAAGATTCTCTGTTCTGGGGTTACAGTGAGCGGCTTTGCCATGGGGAAGACCGGAAAGTCGTCCTGAAGAAAGGCCCTCCGGAGATAAAGATTGCCGACATGCCTTTGCATTCGCCTCTCTCCAGATACCAGAGCACCGTGATCTCCCATGGCTTCAGGAGGCGACTGATCTGATGTGCCGACCTGGGGGAGGGTAGCCGTATGCTTGCCCAGCACACAAAAGGTTCAGGGTTCCAACCCCATTACTACTAAAAGTAATAAAATGATAAAGTAGTTCAGTCTCTTGCCCTTGCGCCGTTCTGGTGCTTAAGTTCATTGCATTTTGCCGAAAAGTTTAATTTAACGATTGTTAAGTCAAAAGCATAATATCGATATCTTTGAAGGTTTAGAGAGGGCTAATATAAGTTCTGAGGCTGTCTGAGGTGGGGTGGGAGAGGAAGGAAACTGCTTCGTGGTGGATTTCCCAGGTGGATAACGAGCAACGGATGAGCCCCATGCTATCGTCTTGTGCATGCAGTCCCAGCCACTGCCAGTCCAGCTAAGCTGCCTCGTCTGGCAAATACTGTTTGGCAGCAGACATCCTCTGGCTTTTACAATCTTTCCACCCCATCTTCTGCTTTGGTCTGAGTGTTAGGGAAAGGAGAAATCATGTGGATGTCCTATCTATGAGCTCCATAGTCTTATTCTCTGCATATCGACCAATTGTGGGTCTCTATGAAAAAGAAGCTTCTCTGATGAGGGTTGCAGTATGCACTAATCTATGGCTGTCAAGGTAAGAACGTGGGGGCAGTGGTTGGTTACTCCCGTAGCCTTCTTTCCACTGTTGCAACAGGAGGCATATCTACTTACGGCTTCTTAACCGGGTAAGACTGTTGCTTGCTTTTCTTCTTTGGTGGCATGCATAGACCCTCCTAGGACTCAGAATGCTAGCCAGCTGTGATGGAGCTTTCAGTCCCAGCCGTTTCTCCAAGTCCCGTGATTCACGTGATGTCTCCAGCACTAAGGTTTTGCCATCACATTCATCAAGGGGAACCGTGAACAAAGGCACCAGCTTGTAATGTTAGGGGAAGATGTCTATGGGACCTTGCTGAACAACAGCTTGCAAAGAGGTCACCCACACTTGGAACTGGGCTTGTTATTCGATATCCTATGGTGTCTGACAGAGACATTGTTCCCATTATAGAGTACCTCCATTAAAACTCCTTTTCTGTATGTACTTATCTATATTAGGAAGCTTCTACAGTAGGTTTCTGTCTTAGGGTTTCTGTTGCTGAGAAGAAACACTATGATCAAAAGCAAGTTGGAGAGGAAAGGGTTTATCTGGTTTACACTTCCACATCATAGTTCATCACCAGAGGAAGCCAGAAACTCAAACAGGGCAGGAAGCCAGAGACAGAAGCCAATGTAGAGGCCATGGAGGAGTGATGCTTACAAGCTTTCTCTTCCTGACTTGCTCATCCTGCTCTCTTACAGGACCCAGGACCATCTGCCCAGGGATGGAACCATCTTCAATGGACTGGTCCCTCTCCCATCAATCACACTTAAGAAAATGCCTTATAGCAAAATCTTATGGAGGCGTTTTCTCAGCTGAGGTTCTCTCCTTTCAGATAACTCTAGCTTGTGTCAAGCTAATATAAGACTAGCCCGCACAGGTTCCATGTAGCATTTAAAAAGATTTTTCGTGTTATCACTTCCCAAATTCCTCCTTCTATTCCCCCCACTCCATTTAACCCTTCCTCTTCCTCTCTTCTCTTTCCCCCTTCACATCACCTGAGTTTTACCCCCTTCCCTAGAAATACACTTTGGATTTCCTTACTCTTTTTCTCCCTCCTCTTTGACATGGTCTTTCTATGTAGCCCAGGTCGGACTGGAACTCATGATCAATATTCTTACTTTTGAAACATACTTACAATGGATTCTAGGAATCCATCTGCCAAAGCTCACATCCGACAGTGCCCCTACCCAGATCCCAAATAAATACACAGAGACTTATTCTTACTTATGAATCCCTGGCCTCAGCTTGGCTTATGTCTAGCCAGCTTTTCTTAAAATTATCCAGGTTACCTTTGGCTTCTGGACTTTCACCTTTTTATCTGTTTCCTTCTAACCCTGTGGCTGACTGTGTTGCTGGGTGTCTGGCCCCTGGCATCTTTGCCTCCTTCTCCTCTTCTCTCACTCCTTTCTCTCTTCTCATTCTTCTATTTATTCTCTCTGCCTTCCAGCCCCTCCTATCCATCTCTTGCCTAGCTATTGGCCATTCAGCTCTTTATTAGACCAATCAAGTGTTTTAGGCAGGAAAAGTAACACAGCTTCACCGAGTAAAACAAATGCAACATAAAAGACTGTAACACATCTTAAAAATAAATTCCACAACAGTCTTGTTACAAATGAAGGAAGAATGGCAGACAGCAAAAGGAAGTTGACACAAATAACCCTTCAGAACAAGCTTTATTAGGAGAAAGCCTTGTGGCCGTGGGACTCTGGGGACACGATCCAGCCTTATAATGAGAGAGGAATTAGAAGAGATACATAAGAGACAGCCATGTTCAGATTATGAAGCCACTTCCTGAAGGCGTAAGTCACAAACAATGCCACACCAGTTTGGAATTATGATTAATAGGGTGGTATTTATTTAAAGGGGAAAAAACTTACAGATCACTGTCCCAGGCAACAGCCCTCTATGCAACCAGGAAGGGAGTCTAGTCACCAGTGGAGCAGGAAGTGAAGAGAGAGAGGAGAGCGAAGTGGCCGCTTTTTTAAAGGGAGAGAGACCACGCCCCAATGGGCTGGTACCTCAGCAGCTATAGGCTGGAGGAGCGGGAGGACCTCCCGTAACAACTTCCTAGAGGGCCAAACTGGTGGATCTACCCCATCTTTCTTGCAGCCTCCAAACTGCAAGCTTCATGAAAGAGTTCTTTCTCTGTCTTCCTCGGCGCTGGAGATCAAACCCAGAGTCTCATCCGTGCTGGGCTTGTGCTCGACCACTGAGCTATGCCCCCAGCCTAAGCTTTTCTTTTCTTTTCCCAAGACATAGTCTCACTGTGTAGCCTAGGCTGGCCTCGAACTCACAGAGATCGGCCTGCTTCTGCCTCTCCTGTGCTAGGATGCATGCCACATCTGGTCCAAACTTTTTTTTTTTTTTGGAAATCTCTCTCTCTGAGACACACTGTAGAGTAACTAGGACAGTCTAATAACTTCTTTGCCCTCTGTGAAGTCTGACCCTGAGACAGCCACTCTCCAACACCAAGTTTTCTGTCTGTTACAGTTTGAATCTGACATGTCCTTGTGGAGGTTTGAAAGACATGCCCCCCAAAGGGGGCGGCACTATTAGGAGGTGTGGCCTTGTCGGGGCGGCGTTGAGGTCTCTGTCTCAAGCTTCCCTCAGGGTGACAGTCAGTCGACTTCCTGTTGCCTCTGAGTCAAGATATAGCGCTCTCAGCTGCAGCACCGTGTCTGCCTGCTCCGCATCATGACTTTAACAGACTGAACCTCTGAAACTCTAAGTGAGCCATCCTCAATTAAATGTTTTCTTAATGAGTTGCCATGGTCATGGGGTCTCTTTACAGCCACAGTAAACCCTGACTAAGACAGTCCTCCACAGGCAAATGTTTAAACACTTGGTCTCAGTTGACAGAGCTATTTTGGGAAGTTCTGGAAACTTTGCGGGGGGCAGGGTGTACCTAACTAGAGGAAGTAGGTCATGAGGATGTGCCTTTGAAAGTTTTATCTGGGCCACAGTCCTTACTTCTCTTTCTGGGTCCTCCACACCTCTTGCTACTATGATGTTCTGCTTGCATTCATGGGGCTAAGAGACAAGGGCCAAACTCTCGGAAACCATGAGCCCAAATGCATTTTTGTTCACTATACTGCTCTCTCCGGTGTGTTAGTCACAACGGTACAAAAGCAATTAATTCTGTCCCATTTGCTTTTCCTTCCAATTCTGTGAATACCTAGTTATTTTCCAGTGAGCGTCCCTTTCAAGACCGCCCTGTGCCTGATTTCATACTCAACTCCTTTCAATGCTTTCCTCCTTCGTGATGGTTTGAGGTTACGATTTCCCTCCCAATAGAGCCCTAATACCTGTTTCTGTTGTGGTGGTGGTAGTGTGTGTGTGTGTGTGTGAGAGAGAGAGAGAGGGGGGGGGGAGGGAGAGAGAGAGAGGGAGAGAGAGAGAGGGAGAGAGAGAGGAATAACAACAGAAACAATACTGGAAGCCAGAACACCAAAATGGTCCCAATGTTGGTACTTCTGGGTGTGATGGGGATGCTATTGGTGATGTTAGTGATGATGTCATTTGAAACAACTCTGTAGCCCACACTAGCCTGGAACTCAGGAGTGCTGGGAGCATAGGCAAGCACAAATGTGTATTTTATCAGCAGAAGCTCTTCCTTGGTGGGAAATGCTCTTCCTTCTGTCCTGCTGTCATTGTGGGAGTCTTAAAGTTCTAGTCTTTAAGATTCCCTTTCAGGAGCCGGGCGATGGTGGCGCACGCCTTTAATCCCAGCACTCGGGAGGCAGAGGTAGGCGGATCTCTGTGAGTTCGAGACCAGCCTGGTCTACAGAGCTAGTTCCAGGACAGGCTCCAAAGCCACAGAGAAACCCTGTCTCGAAAAACCAAAAAAAAAAAAAAAAAAGATTCCCTTTCAGGGTTCAATTAAAGACACCTGGATGAGCTAAGGGAGGCTAAAAGTCTGAGGGTAAAGATCTGAGGGGTAAGAAATGAGCTTACAACACTTTTCGTCTATCCATAATTCTATATTCTTCTTTTCTCTTTCTTCATTCTTGTTCTATCTTGTTCTACCCGTTACAAATGTCCCCGGTCAGATACATCCTTAAAACCAGCAACTCACCAGTCCTCGCAGGGTCCAGGGCCAGAATTCTTTTGCCCCATAAAAAATCAGATAATAATTTTTATACACACAGATTCATGGGACTGGCTAACACACATCCTATTAAATTCTTAATGGAGAAAGTTAGTTAAGAAAGGAATTAAATTGTCAGGGAATCCTAGGGGGAATGGTTATTGTGCTGTATTATATTTGTAGGTGGTGTAAAGAGCTAAAAGGTTTATTTCCAGTAAAATTATGAATAGGGCACGGATTGTTTAAATCAGCGCACACTTCTTTTCTCCCAGCATGCATAGAATCGGGAACCAAGCAACCTACGTAAACAGTCAGAGAGAAGCTGGTGGCTCTTGATCAGATAGCACACACAACAGATG